GATTTGTCTCCGTGTCGTCCGGTTTTTGTTCCCCTCTCCACATTTAGAATCAACGTCACCACGCGTTTCGAGTATATGGATTTCCACGTGGTGATGATCCACTTCGGTTGAGCTATCATTGGTGATCGCCAGGTCGCTTCTGAATTAAAAAAAGATATGTAGCTGCAGTGCGTTTATCTGATAAAATATCAATCGTGTATCGTTTATAGGTCGTGGGTTCGATCCCAACCCTGGCGCCTGCTGTATATTTGGAGTGTCTCTCTAGTCTCGCGGCCACGTGGATTTTTCTCCAGGTCGTCCGGTATCCCCCCCCTCCCCTCCACGTTCACAATCGACGTCACGCGTTCAGAGTATTTGACAGCGATTATTTTCCCAGGCTACGATAATCCACTTCGGTTGAGCTGTCATTTGTGACGGGCAGCTTCGCTTCTGCAACCAAAAAAAAAGAGAAAGAGCTATCCACCTGGTAAAAGTTTACTAACGAACAAAAATGTTGTTGAGTTTTATAGTTTCGGGGGTTCCCATCACGAGGAGCCCGCAATCGGAAGCGTGTTTCCGAGATGGAGGCATCCGCTCTCCAGAGCCCCGCATTGCATCAACATCGCCGCTGCCCCCGTCGCCCGCTAACAGATTGCGTTCCACACTTTTAATTCCACGTCAATTTCCTCTCCGTCGCTGTTTTTCCTCTCCCTCCCTCTCTCCCTCTCTCGGAGGTCGAGGCGGAGATTAGCGGTAATCTATGGCTGCTGCTGCCGAGGGGGGGGGGGGTGGGGGCGGGCGTGATCGGGTGGCTGTGTGGGTGTGGGGGAGGGGGTGGTCAATGGGGTATGATGCGGGGAGGGGGGGAGACTTTTGGTGATGGGGGTGAGGTAGGTGGTGGTGGGAGGTAGTTGGAAGGAGGGTAGGTAGAGGTGGTGGCGGTGGGGCAGTGGGCGGGTGGTGGGGGAGGGGGTAGGTGGAGGTGGTGGGGGGGTGGACGGAGGATAGGTGGAGGCGCGGGGGTACATGGGGATGTGGGGAGGGGTAGGTGGGATTGGTGGGGAGGGGTAGGTGGGGGTGGTGGGGAGTGGTAGGTGGGGGTTGTGGGGCGGGGGTAGGTGGACGGAGGGTAGGTGGAGGGGGTGGGGAGGAGGTAGGTGGGGGTGGAAGGGAGTGCTAATGGACGGGTTGAGTGACGAGTTGGGTGAAATGTCACGTTGATACCATCCTTCTACCCGCCCGACGATTCGACTATTTATCGCAATTCAACACATTCGTCAAGGACACTGTGACATTGAAATACATATAAAACCTTCGACGTTTTGGGCAATGGTCCTTTTTCATATGAAGAAGGGCTGTCTGTTGAGTATTGTTGTTATTTCTGTTTGTGAGCCACTGCCAACGCCACAGCAGTAGCAAGCGTCGCCAAATCACTTTGATCAATTATCTTGCTTCGATCGCAATCATCGAAATCAAACGGACGCGCGGGCGACGTGCTGCGCATCGATCTCATCGCGACGGGCGCACTCGCCTCGGTTAGCAACTCGTAGTCGCGGCGTCCCAGCAGGGCTGGAGAGAGGACACGTCGCGCAAAAAAACACCGTGGCGTCTTTGCTTCGAGAGCGAAAACAAATACACACAACAACAAAAAAACACCCTTTTAATTTTCAATATTTCGGGCCTCGAAACCTCAAGCGGGCAAAACAAAAATAAACCTACAGCCCGACGTTCCAGATTGCTTTCAGGATCTCCCGCAACACGATGACGTACAAATGACCCAACGCTCTCCTCCTTATCGTCGGTGAACCGAGTAATTCGCCGCTGGTGGAGCGTGACGCCAAAGCCGATGGGACACGGAGCCAAAGGGCCGTCGTTGCTTCTGGGGGTCAGAGTCGTCTCAACCCTCCTGGTTGTCTGCCCTTGCAAGAGCCGGTGGTGGAGAAACCCTCCAAACACACACACACATTTGATCATCATCATCATCTTCATAATCACAAGCCATGATCTATCCACTGCTGGATTAAGCTCACCCGCAAGCGGCGGAATGAAGGCCAAATGAAGGTGATAGTTCGTCAGCCATCAAATGAGCACCTCGTGCGATGCGTAAACATCGCCATTGGGAAGACAAAGGCGGCCGGGCGTGGTGCAGGCTACCCATCCCTCCTCGCGTACCGTGTCGGTCTTCATCGGTGCTCGATAACAGCACTCTTCTCAACAGTCTGTTAAATGCTATACGGGGGATCTTTGTCTGTGTTAGTGTTGACCGAGACCAAAGCGAGAGAGGACTTAAACACACACAGACACGCGAATCTTGTCGCGTGCGTCACGCCTGAATTGACCTTGGTGATCATGATGATGGTGGAGGCTTGGGGCGGACTTCATCCAGCAGTGAATTGACCCGTGGCTGATGACATTTTGAAGCATGTCATCTCTGCCTGTTGTCTGATTATGCTGAAATGATTATACGGGGTTGAGCGGTATCCCCGCGGTTAGATTTCGATTCACGGCCACGGTTAACATCAGGCGCGACCGCCTTTGTCTCTCCACACCAGGTACTCATTTCAGGCTGAGTCGACCTTGGTGAGGCCCAGAACCGGTTCAGATAATCGCCACTGGGTGTTGCTGGCCGTTAGCCGGAATCCAACTCGAGTCGCCGGGTTCGTAGCGCAGCGTAGCGCTAATCGCTACGCTACCGCTCCCCACTATATGGACCAAAAAAGACAAAGATCCCCCGTATAGCCTTAACAGACTGTTGGGGCAAGTGCTGTTAGCGAGCACCTACGAAGACCGGAACGGCACACGAAGGGGTAGGTGGCCAGCACAACGCCCGACCGCCTTTGTCTCCCTAGTGGCGATGTTTACACACCGCACCAGGGACTCATTTGAGGCTGAGTCGACCTATGCGAGGCCCAGATCCGGTTCAGATAATCGTCACTGATTGCTGGCCGTGAGCGGGAATCGAACTCGGGCCGCCGGGTTCGTAGCGCAGTGTAGCGCTAACCGCTGCACCACCGCTTCCCACTATATCGGCCACACACATTGGCAGGCGCGCACACACACACACACCTATACAGTGTACCTATCTACCCTACCCTTCTACACACACACACGTGTGCGCGCGTGCACGTGTGTGTGTGTGTATATATATAAAGGCTGTCGGGCCTATTACCCCACGAGTGTGATGGACGATTTCGCGCTCACGATATACACCCGTGGTGGGTGATCGTTTTTATTAATAGTGCATTGGGGAGGTTGCTTCGTAACCCTCGCTAGCGTGGGAATGTGGGGGGGCTGGTGGGGGTGGGTGGAAGGGGTGGGTGGGGGGCAGGGAGATGGAGGGGGTAAGTGGAAAATGGGAGCGGTATAAAATAAAAACGTGTTTCATATGGGCAGGGGGAGCGGTGGCGCAGCGGTGAGCGCACTGCGCCACGGAAACCCACCCGCGTTGAGCTGAGTTCGATCCCTAGTACACACACACACACAAAGCGAGTACCAGGAGCCGTAGCGGATCAGTACGTCAACGTATTTACAACGCACGTGTTGATTTTTTGTTGAGGAGCGGTGGCGCAGCGGTGAGCGCACCGGGCTGTGGATTTGGCTGTCCGAGTTCAATTCCCGGAGACGGATAACGTCAGCTGGCGAGTCATTTAATCTTAGCCGGGCGCGGTCAACCCTTTCACCAACCAACTACTGACCGGCGCGGTGAAGTATGGTCAAACAGTCCCCATGACCGCAATGACCAGTGGTGTACAAAGATAAAGGTCCCTCCGTATAGCCTTAACATGCTGCTGGGGCAAGTGCTGTTAGCGAGTAGCACCTATGAACGTCGGCACGGCACACGAGGGGGTGAGTGGCCAGCAACCACGCCCGGCCGCCTTTGTCTCCCCCCTCCCAGTGGCTCTGTTTTACACTTTGCATCAAGTAACCGCTTGAGGCTGAGCCGACCTAGGGGAGACCCAGGACCGGTTCAAGTGGTGTACGTATTTTCAAGCAGCTACACATTGAGGTGGAGGGTGATCATGATGACAGCAGACGGAGACACGCATGAGACGGACAGACCTCTTGACAGACAACTCCACCTTTGTTAAATGTTTAATATTCGTCGTCGTCTGATCGCGGGGTTGGGACTCATGCGACACCACCGCCTTCGTGTTGGCGGCAGAGGATACAACGAGACAAAGACAAAGGCCCCCTTCCCCCCCCGTAAAGCCTTTGACAGACTGCTGGGGCAAGTGCTGTTGGCGAGCAGCACCTACGAAGGCCGGCACAGCCAACCCCACTCCCTCGTGTGCCGTGACGGCCTTCGCAGGTGCTGCTAGCCAACAACACTTGCCGACAGTCTGTTCTATTGTCTTTGTGTGGTCCAGGGCCTCCTCCTAGGTCAATTCGGCCTCAAAATGAGTAAACATGGTCACTAGGGGAGACAAAGGCGGCCGGGCGTGGTATTGACCACCCGCCTCCAAAAAGTCTGCGAAGGCTGTATACGGAGATTATGTTTTGTGTGTGTGTGTCAGCATGGGTGTGTGTGTGTGTCAGCATGTGTGTGTGTGTGTGTCAGCATGGGTGAGTGTGTGTGTGTGTTAGCATGGGTTAGTGTGTGTGTGTGATCAGCATGGGTGTGTGTGATCAGCATGGGTGAGTGTGTGTGTGTGATCAGCATGGGTAAGTGTGTGTGTGATCAGCATGGGTGAGTGTGTGTGTGTGTCAGCATGGGTCAGTGTGTGTGTGTGATCAGCATGTGTGTGTGTGTGCGTGTCAGCATGGGTGAGTGTGTGTGTGTGATCAGCATGGGTGAGTGTGTGTGTGATCAGCATGTGTAGTGTGTGTGTGTCAGCATGGGTGAGCGTGTGATCAGCAATCTTCAAGGCTTTATAGGTGGTGGATATGGGGGGTGTGGTGGTATTTGTCTCAATGTGTGAGCGTGTGCGCGTATCGTTAAACACAACAGGCAATCGTTCTCGTTGTGTTCACGTGTCAACCGGTCTCTCTCCCTCCCTCCACCCCCCTCTCTCTCTCTCTAGGTGGAAGATGCCGTCAACTTGAATCTTGTGGATCAATCGGTCATCAAAAAAGGTGAGGGCGCTGCTGTGTTTTGTGTGTGTGTGTGTGTGCTCTCTAGGTCGACTCAGCCTCAAATGAGTGCCCGGTGCGGTGTGTAGTAAACATCGCTACTGGGGGAGACAAAGGCGGTCGGGCGTGGTGCTGGCCACCCACCCGTGCCGGCCTTCATAGGTGCTCGCCCAAGCAGCACTTGCCCCAACAGTCTGCCAATGCTCTCTGGGAGATCTTTGTCGTTGTGTGTGTCGAGCGGTGGCGCAGTGGTTAGCGCACTGCGCTACGGACCCGGGCGAGAGAAAGTTCCAATTCCGCTGACGGATAATATCAGTGACGAATATCTAAGTACGGGTGCTGGGCCTCTCCTAGGTTGACTTAGCCTTAAACGAGTACCCGGAGCGGTGTGCTAACGTAAGCATTGCGGAAAGGCGGCCAGCACAACCGGACGTGGTATTGGCCGCTCACTCCCTCGTGTGCCCCGTCGATTATTTTAATAGCTGCTCTCTGACAGCACTTGCCGCACCCGTCTGTTAAGGCTATCCGGGAGATCTTTGTCTTTGTGGACTTCTACAGCTGTTCGCTAACAGCACTTGCCCCAACAACCTGCGTAGGCTGTAGGACGGCGAGAGGGGGGGGGGGGGTACGCGTGGGGTCTCTGTCTTTGTGTGCGTCAGTCACGCCGCAACCTCATTGATGGTTGTACCCGAACCGTCATAGCTTGCGGGGTGGAGTTTATTTAGTTTTTCTCTCCAGCGTCCACCTAAAATTGCACGCGATTAGCGGGGGGGGGGGGGGGGGTTCACGCCCAATCGCAGGCTCATCAAATCGACCCGGTGAAATGTCTCTCCCCCGTTTCACTCGTTCGCTCTCAATGCCACTTGCTTCCATGAACGTGACGGCTGCTTGCAAGCGCCCCCTTCGCCAGTCGACCGGTGCGTCTCGCGATTCACGTGGTCGTCGTTCCGACCCCCCTCCTCCTCCTCCATGCTGGGATCCGGCTGCTGTTATTGGCACCCATCGTAGAGTGTCAACACAGATTCGGAGGAACGCTGCTGATGCTGCTGTTCTCTAACAACCGAGTGGGACAACGCGGTCGTCCGGAATAATAAAGGGGGCCATCACAGTGGCGAGATGTTAACTACATCGCCTGGGGCACGGGAGGTCGTGGGTTCGATCCGCGACCCTGACGCCTGCTGCTGTATATTTGGAGTCTGCGCGTCTCTCTCTCTCCCTGTGTTGAGAATCACGCATTTAGACTATTTGGCTGCCACGAATGTCCACGTGACAAGCCACTTTCGTTGACCCTTCATTCTAGACAGCCAGGTCCGCCTCGACTGCGTTGAGCCACCGATTGCGCAACTGCTCGCAACTCGTTTTGCAGAGACGTCCACAAAGACACCTTTCAATTGCACGCAGCGGAGTTGCCTCACAACTGATGTCTCCGGGAGTACAGTCGACTTAAGCCATTCAGTTGCATGCAACCAAGTTGCAATACAACCGATCGCTCGGGTAATTAAATCGGCTTAAGCCATTAAGTTGCAGACAACAAACTCGTCCAACGCAATCGATCACTCGGGTAGTAGACGCTGTCTTTCCGACAGACCTGTTCTTCACCTGAGGACGGCTGCTTGCGTTGTGGCCGAAACGTCGTGAGAATTGTATTTTATTATGTTTCATTTTGATTATTTTATTATTTCCCTCCTACGTGACTTTACCGAAAGAACCAAGAAGATGTATTTTATTATGTTAAATTTTTATTATTTTATTATTTCCCTTCTACGTGACTTTACCGAAAGAACCAAGAAGATGAATCCCTGCAAGTCACGAAAGCTTTAAATCGACATTTTGTGGAATCGACTTAAGCCATTAGATTGCATGCAACCAGCTCGTGCAACGCAATCGATCGCTCGGGTAGTGACAAGTTGCTGGGATGAGGACTCCCGCTTTAAATGAGCCACGCGTCGACCGCCAGTGCCTCGTGTCCCTTTAAGAGCAGCGCGTGGCGGCGCCTTCACAGCCAATCGGCAGGCCGTGACCCGCGGAGACGCGAGATGAATGAGTGGGAGGGGTGGGAAGGCAGGGGGAGTGGGAGGGGTGGGGAGGGGTGGGAGGGGTGGGGAGGCAGGGGGAGTGGGAGGGGTGGGGAGGGGTGGGGGGAGGGGAGGGGTGGTGAGGGAGGGGAGAGGGAAGGGTAGGGAGGGGAGGGATGGGGAGGGAGGGGAGAGGTGGGGAGGGGAGGAGAGTGGGAGGGGTGGGGAGGGAGTGGAGTGGGAGGGGTGGGGTGGGGAGGGAGGGGAGTGAGGGGGGCTGGAGGAATGGAGGATGAGGCGAGAGAGAGGGAGCCGGAGAGAGGGCTCTGACTAACCGCCGCATTTCCTTCCTTCCTGCTTACAATTGCCCCTCGTTCCTTCTAAGTATCCCCCACCCACTTACTCCCCCCCTACCTCCACCCACCCAACCCCCAACAAACCCCTTCCTCCTACTCTCCATCTGCCTGCCCATGCAGTTGCGTTCGGCTTTAAAATCCGACGAGGTGTGTGGAGGGGAGTGGAGGTGTGTGGAGGTGTGTGGAGGTGCGTGGAGGTGTGTGGAGGTGTGTGTAGGTGCGTGGAGGTGTGTGGAGGTGTGTGGAGGGGTGTGGAGGTGCGTGGAGGGGTGTGGAGGTGAGTGGAGGGGCGTGGAGGGGAGTGTAGGTGTGTGGAGGGGAGTGGAGGTGTGTGGAGGGGTGTGGAGGGGTGTGGAGGTGCGTGGAGGGGTGTGGAGGTGAGTGGAGGGGCGTGGAGGGGAGTGTAGGTGTGTGGAGGGGAGTGGAGGTGTGTGGAGGGGAGTGGAGGTGTGTGGAGGGGTGTGGAGGGGTGTGGAGGTGAGTGGAGGGGCGTGGAGGGGAGTGTAGGTGTGTGGAGGGGAGTGGAGGTGTGTGGAGGGGTGTGGAGGGGTGTGTAGGTGTGTGGAGGGGTGTGGAGGGGAGTGGAGGTGTGTGGAGGGGTGTGGAGGTGCGTGGAGGGGTGTGGAGGTGAGTGGAGGGGCGTGGAGGGGAGTGGAGGTGTGTGGAGGGGAGTGGAGGTGTGTGGAGGTGAGTGGAGGTGTGTGGAGGTGAGTGGAGGGGCGTGGAGGGGAGTGTAGGTGTGTGGAGGGGAGTGGATGTGTGTGCAGGTGAGTGGATGTGTGTGCAGGTGAGTGGAGGGGCGTGGAGGGGAGTGTAGGGGTGTGGGGGGGAGTGGAGGTGTGTGGAGGTGCGTTGAGGGGAGTGGAGGTGTGTGGAGGGGTGTGGAGGTGCGTGGAGGTGTGTGGAGGTTCGTGGAGGTGCGTGGGGGGTGTGGAGGGGAGTGTAGGTGTGTGGAGGGGAGTGTAGGTGTGTGGAGGTGCGTGGAGGTGTGTGGGGGGTGTGGAGGTGTGTGGAGGTGTGTGGAGGTGCGTGGGGGTGCGTGGGGGGTGTGAAGAGGAGTGAAGGTGTGTGGAGGGGAGTGGAGGTGTGTGGAGGTACGTGGAGGTGCGTGGGGGGTGTGGAGGGGAGTGGAGGTGTGTGGAGGTGCGTGGAGGTGTGTGGAGGGGCGTGGAGGTGCGTGGAGGTGTGTGCAGGTGCGTGGACGCCGTCTCCAGGGCATGCGCCTCGACCTTTGACCGCTGTCCAGTTAAACGTCAGAATCAGAATATTTATTGAGAGTGGAGGAATCCGATGAGCTATGAATCTATTTTTATTTTTGCAGATGACCAGGTCAGAACGCTACAACAACAAACAACGCAACACAACATGACAGCAGTGCAAAGCATTGGGAAAGTAAACGCGTCACTTGACGTACAGATACAGGTCACTTCAGCGATTTCAGTGGTGACATCACTTCATTGACTTCAGTGGTGACGTTACTTCAGTGACGTCAGTGGTGACGTCACTTCATTAACTTCAGTGGTGACGTCACTTCAGTGACTTCAGTGGTGACGTCACTTCATTGACTTCAGTGGTGACGTCACTTCATTGACTTTAGTGGTGAAGTCACTTCAGTGGTGACGTCACTTCAGCGACTTCAGTGAAGTGACGTCACTTCAGTGACTTCAGTGTTGACGTCACTTCAGTGACTTCAGTGAAAGAACCCAATGTTTGATCTCCCGCGAATCTGCTCGTGGTCCACCCCAAACCGCCTGCACTGCACGAGCCGTGGCAGCAGATTGCGGATGACAGCCCGATGCACAAATGTGAAATAAAAACAGAAACTCTCCGGCGGTGTACAACTGTGGTGGTCATCCTGAACGGAGACGGTGCTCGACGTCCGACGCACGGCGCGATGCCCCGGACCCCCGTACAGACAGGAAGGAGACATTCTAGATTTGAAGCTTGTGTTGCCTCCGAAACGTCGTGATTTATAATTTTACTTCTATTATTATTTCTATAAATTTTATTTTTGTTATCTATTTTTTACCTACGTGACTTTACCAAAAAAAGCTAAGTTTAAAAATGTAAAATAACAAAAAAAAAATTACGAAATGATGAACGAAGCAAAGTGCCGACTAAACCGAGCATCTTCTTGTTTCCACTGATCGTAAAATAAAAAAAGGAGACATCGCAGTAGCGATCACAACTCCGCCACTGGTCGCGCCGACCAACCCCAATGTGAAGGTGAGAGTCGTTGATCTGCGTCTACATCAGCAGCCGTGCGAAACAAGAAGATGGAGAAGAAGAAGATCTTCTTGGTTCTTTCGGTAAAGTCACGTAAAAGGGAAGTAATAAAATAATAAAAACAAAACATAATAAAATAATATAATATAATTCTCACCAACAAGATGAATCCCTGCAGTCACGAAAGCTTTAAATCGAAATTTAAGAAGAATTGGCGAAGCAATATCTCAACATGGACCTAGGCAACGCTCTTCGCCAACCCGCACTGACCTGCCTGGTGAAGTATGGTCAAACGAATCCCATGACCGACACGGTCCAGCAGTGGATCGATTGACAAAGGGGCTGCGATTGTATTACGAATAAACTACGTTCGTACGTGTTTAGAAAACATTATCCATGCGTGCAT